CCCCAAAACCCCAAAACCCCAAAACCCCAAAACCCCAAAATAACCCTAAATTAATTAAAATTTAATGGAAGAGAACAAAGGGAAAATAGTTGGTAACTATAAACTCGACGAAGAACTCGGCAAAGGTGCTTATGGTCAGGTTTTTCTGTGCAGAATCAGAGAAGAGCAGAGCATTGACCCTTTAGTCAGAGATAGAATGCGTTTAGGCAGAAAAGTAGCCTGCAAGATGATCTCAGTCAAAAGAATTCATCATAGAGTTCGAAAATATTTACTTCAGGAGATAAATCTCATGCTAAACCTTAGACATGATAATATTTTGAACTGTTTAGAAGTCACTAAAAGTACTAATAACATTTATCTGTTCATCGAGCTTTGTAATGGAGGAGACTTGAAGAGACTGTTAAAGGTTAAAGGAGGAAGGGTTGAAGAAGATCTTGCATTTACTATTGCTCTTCAGATTGCCAAAGGGTTGAAATATTTAAATGTACAAGAAGTAATTCATCGTGACTTAAAACTTGATAATATCATGATTAATTTTCCAGGGCAGCAAAAATCTAAGCGCGTTAAGCAGAAATATTTGGAAGAGTTTGATCCATCAAATGAAGACATAGAAGTTATCATAGGAGATCTTGGTTTTGCAAGATCACTTGCTACAAATGATCTGACTACTTCTTATTGAGGAACTCCTGTTAATATGGCTCCAGAAATCATGCAAGGAGATAAATATAATTCTAAAGTTGATATCTGGTCCTTTGGTACCATATTCTATGAACTTGTTGTTGGATTTCCTCCATTCTATGGAAAAGACCACCAAGATCTAGCAGAAAGAATCGGAAAAGGTGATTATGGAATACCTTTTGGAATTGATCTTTCCCCAGAGTGCATTGACTTTATCGAAAATTGTTTGCAATTTGATCCTGATAGGAGGATGACTCATAATGAAATGCTTAATCATCCATTCCTCAAAGGAGAAAAATTGGAATCCTTCCCTGAAATCCCGAAAAAATCTTCCAAATAAAACTAAAGTTAAAATTTCTCCGTTTGCTTCATTTGATTTAAATCATAAAAATGCCTATATGCTCAATATACACAAATTCTGCATTTCCAAAAGAGAGGAGGAGGAGGAGAAAAAGGAAGAAACTCATCAACCCGATGGCAAGAAAAAGAAGTCAAAGAATAAAGATAAGGAACATAAGAAAAAGCCATCAGCACAATCTGATATCTCTGATGACTTCGACTTAATGTCTGATTTTTCTTCTGATTTAGACAAGAGCAAACCTAAGAGTAAGCAAAGACGCCACTACTTCTTTTGAGTATTTAATTTTCCAAGGAAATGTACAAACACCTAGATTCATGCATTTTGGTTTCCTTGTCTTTACGTAATAGATTTAGGCCATTAAAATTTATATTCCTCTGCTCTTTAGCTTCTTCTTGTTAATTTGTCCAATTTAGAAGACAAGTCAAAACCAAACAATAGATGGAGAGATAAGAAAAAAGATCCGAAAAATGAGAGCTCTAGTAGCTTATCAAGTCTATCAAGTTCTCTCTCTTCTGGTAAATTTGATGATTAAGAGATTTTATCAAACTTCGATAGAAGCAATTTCTTGAGTGCTTGTCTCAAAATTCACCTTGGATTTAATTAAAATCTATTTTGAAGAATTTAGTTTAAACTTAACCTTTAGATAATCATGAAGAACCAAAGAAGGAGACATCAGTCAAAAAATCTTCAGCAAAAAGAGTAAAAGAGTCTCAAGGTAAGAATGAGGCCAAACCTCCATCGCAAAAGACTACTGGTGAGATTCCTTCTTCAAAGAAGGAATCTGTATTAAAATCTGCTTTGTCAGGGAGCGGTATTGCCGACTCTGAAGATCCTGCTTTTCAAAGTATGCTAAAGTCAGAGCAAAATGAGGATGGCAAAAATGGAGAAGAAATTGACCTATCGAAAGAGCCAAAAAGTGTGGTCACTTCTGAAAGTAGATCTCCTAAAAAGGCAAGAGTTGCGACTTCCAAAATTGATAAGACATTGGAGCAGAATGATCCAGACTTAAGTTCTAGTGATGATGAACTTGGAGCAACAGCTAAGATACAAAAGCCTCCTAAGAAGTCCAAGAAGATAAAGAAAAGCATTAAAATAGAAATGTCCTCAGAGAGTGATTTTGAGATAATCGGAACTGGTAAAAGCGAACTTAAGGTCTTATCTTCAGAGGAATATTCAAAATTCATGAAGGTTAAGCCAAAAGTATAAGAACTAACACAATTTCAGTATTAAAGCGTATTTCTTGATAAAGCCTTTTGATAGGGAAAGAGGGTTATTTCTTCAAACTTAGAATCAATTTGAGAGAAAATAAAATATGAATAAGACTAAATGGCAGATTTATTTTGTCTTGCTATTTGATTGTTTTATTTTTCCTTAAATAGAAATCCCTCAGAAATAATACATAGAAATTTGATCTCTTCAACTCATTGAAATAGTTACGGGGTTTTGGGGTTTTGGGGTTTTGGGGTTTTGGGG